AACTTCAAGTATACTTTATCCCCTATCTCAAATTGGATGTTCTTATGCCCATCTGCTTGCTTCTTCATAATTTGTAGAGCCCTCAATAAATGTCTTTTTAATTCATCCAACGTCATATCCCTCTCCTCCAAGTACTGCTCTATTAAAGAATTTGGCGTGCTACTTTATCTAAAATGCATCAAGTGAGGTGGGTCCCTTCCGTACAGTACTTTGAAAGGAGTCATCTGGGAAGCTAAATGATAGTAAGTATTATACCAGTACTCCACCCAAAACAGCCACTTGGCCTATAACTGAGGTGTCTCTGAAGCAACACATCACAGGTACGTCTCCATGCTTCTATTTATCACCTCCATCAGCATCTTCATCTAGGGGTGGTAAGCGATGTTCCTCTTCAGCACTGTCCCCTGCGACCTAAACAACTCCCTCCAAAAATGACTGAGGAATATCTTATCTCAATCGGACACTATACACTTTAGCATCTGTTGACCTGTATACGGCAGCCAAAAGCAAATAAAAAAAAAATCTTTTGCGTACCTGTGAGGACGTCCGGCGCCGACTCACACGATCGCAAAATCCCGAAAATCCTGCATTCGGACATCCCGCATCATGGCTTCGTGAGTCAACGACGGGTCTATACAGATAAAAAAAGAAATCGCACGGCGGGGAGGCCGGGGCCGAATTTTTGGAGCCCACAGCATCACATACAGTCTGACCACCTCTATGATGAATGTCGCTGTCACTGTTATGTAGAGATGTCGTAGAAGAATGAAATCATTCTTGCTCAATCTATCCACCATCATCAAAATCACTGTAAACTCCTCATATTGGGTAACCTATCTATAAAATTCATAATGACCTCCTCCAACACTCTATCTGGAAGAGCTAGTGGTTGCAGTAATCCTCCCAAAGCCATGGACATGTATTTGCTCCTCTGGCATATCTCACATCTAGCCACCATCTTCTCCACATTCTTATGCATCCCCTTCCAATACAACTTTGCAGCTAGCCTGTTATATGTATTCTGCACCCCTGAATGACCCCCAACAGCGCTCTCATGAAACTCCTGCAGGAGGTGTAGAATATGGACCAAGGTCTATGGCAACACAAACCTCCCCTGGTACAGTAGTCTCTTCCCCCTAGGGAATAGCCAGGATGGCTATTCTCATCCCTCAGTAGATCTGTCCTAATCCTCCTCAACTCTTCGTCCTACACACTCTCCTCCTAACCCCCCCCCATTTCTTTTAGCTCCTCGTCCTGCACATTCTCCTCCTTAACCCCAAAAAAATACAACATCAGTGGTACCGAAATGGCTAACTCATAGAGCTCCCCCAGTATCTGGATAAGAAATTAGTCGCCTTATTCTCCAGCCCCGATCTATACTGAATCTAAAAATCATACCCAACAGCTTTTATAGCCACCTTTAATGCTCTTCAGTTACCATCTCCTGCTCTAACAGGTATTTTAAGCTCCTTTAATCTGTCGGGATAATAAAATGATGGCCCAACAAGTAAGGTCGTCACTTCTGAATGGATAACACAATGGACATCAACTCTCTCTCATAGATTGACTTCAACCTAGCTCTGGCTGTCAATGACAGGCTGAAGTACGCTAAGGGTTTGTGATTCTGCATGAGCATTGTTCCCAATCCATATCCTAATGCATCACCTCTACCACTAAAGTTTGGCTAAAATCTCGTAGGGCCAGGACTGATACCATGTCATGGCCTTCTTTGAGTCTCTCACAGGCCTAAGTACCTACCTCTCCCCCACAATAAACTATCATTCTTCAGCTGCTCTGTCAGGGCCAAGAAATAGTATTATATCCCCTCACAAACCTCCTGCATTACCCAATCAACACTACGAAACTCCTCAGCTCTTTAAAATTCCTAGGTAATGGCCATTTCAGCATTGTCTCAATCTTGGCCTGATCAATGGTTATCCCCTCCTGAGATACCACGTGCCCAAGTAATCCACACTAGGCTACACAAAATAACACTTCTTTAGGTTGGCCCTCAATTGATGCTCCTGTAACACATTTAAAACCACCTTTAAGTATTCCTAATGCTCCTCATTCAACCTACTATAACCAGGATGTCATCAAAGAAAATTAGTATAAATCTTCTCAGGTATAGTCGGAACACCCTGTTCATCAGGGATTGGAATGTAATAGGGACGTTGGTGAGGTCAAACGGCATCACCAAGAACTCGTAGTATCCCTCATGTGTCCAAAATGCAATCTTCGGGACATCCTCCTCTCTCATCCTGATATGATGATACTCAAACTTCAAATCTATCTTCATGAATATCACCACTCCACAAAGCTTATATGGCAACTCATTTATCACCGAAATAGGAAACTTGTCCGATACAATCTCCTTATTCAGAGCCCGGTAGTTCACACAAAATCTTTAGCTCATATCCTTCTTCTTGACTAGTAAGATTGGGCTGGAAAAAGGACTCATGCTCGACATGGTGATTCCGACCTCCAACATCTCCTAGATCAGCTTCTCAATCTCATCGCTCTGAATTTGAGGGTAGCAGTAGGGCCTAACACTAATCGGTGGCACCCCCTGCCTCAAGGTGATAGCGTGCTTCTGCTCTCTGTGTGGTGGAAATCCTTGAGATGGCTAAAAGATCTCATTGAACTGTTGTATGAGCAATTGTACTAAAAGAGGGATGTCACCCATTCCTCCAATTTGATCCCCTCTAAGCTCTATAGCTCCACCAAAAATCCTCATCCCACCTCATGTATGGTCCTCACCATGATTTTGAGAGACCATACCTCTGGATAACCCTGCATCTTCTCAAATCATCATCCTTCTTCCCTCTACCAGTAGTTCCATTGTCAGTGCTCCCCAATTGATTTTGGTATCTCCCAAGGTCTGTAGTCATTTCATCCCCAAGGTGACATCAGTGCTCCCTAACTCCAATGACAGAAAGTTCTCCCTCACCTGGACCCTCTGTATGGTCAGAACCACCCCCCTACACACTCCTCTACCCATCTCCAACTTCTATGTTCCCATCATCACTCCATAGCACCCTATATCCACTGGTTTCACTAATAATTGGTACGACCTAGTTGGAGATGAAATTGTGGGTAGCACTATTGCCTATCAACACCACCATCACCATGTATGTTATTTCTCATCTCACTTTCATGATGTGCTTTAGAGTGGATCCCACTACTAAGTTCAATGAGACCTCTATAATGTCTAAATGCAGCTCTTCCTCCTCTACCAATGCCTCATTCCGACCTCCCTCCTCAACTTCCTTGTCATTACAAACGGTAAGAATCTGAAGAGTTCAGTCCTTATACCTACGGCAAGGTGTATACGTCTCATCACATCTGAAACACAATCCCTTCGTCCTCTTCTAATGCAGCTCTTTCTGAGTGAGCTTCTTGAAATTTCCTCGAATTCCCCCTCCTACAAGCTTCTCCTTTGGGGTCTCTCGTGGGATACCTAGTGTAGGCCCCTTGTGTATTAAAAAGGTGGTGGTCATCCTATACAAGCCTCCTGAACTGTTACCTCTGACCCCCCTCTCTAGGTCCTTCTGATCCTCCACTAACTGGACTAGCTCCATAGCCTCTCTCAAATTACGAGGCCTCATCACTTTAACTGCAACGAAAATATCTGGTTTGGGCCATTTCATAAAATTCCCCTTTATCTGCATGCATTAGTTTAGATTCATAATAAGGTCAATGACCTTCATTTTAAAAATTATACCAATAATAAGGTTAGGTGGCCACAGTATATGTACATTATTCATTATTTTTTAAGGTGATTATCTAAATAAATAGTGATATATTATATTAATATCCACTTCACGTTATGCCTTATAAAGCAATTAAAAATACTCTACATCAATTATTAGTTAGCTGTTATGATGATCATACTCTAATTATCATCATTAGCATTATCTAGTTATTTTATTTAATCTTTAGCTTCCGTTCAATGAGGTTGAGTATCGCACAATGTGTTAACCTAATTTGTGCACTACATTTTAAAAGAATTTCACTCTTTATTTCAATATATTCCTTTTCCATTCTAAACTTTTGGCATTAATTTTATCTGCATGTCCTATTATTGCATCTTCTGTTCTTCGGTGTATATGCCCAAACCATAAATGCTAGTCAGACTATAATTCTGATATAATTATTTCTCAATCCAAACTTTCTAACTTTGCCACACATCTATCATTCATTCTCTTTTTTGCCACTCAACTTGGCTATGAATAATTTCTTTACCACCCCAACGTTGTAGTCCATACGGCACTCAGATCTCTCTCTCTCTTCATATATATATATGAGGGGGGAACCTATATGCATACATGTTCATAACAAACCTTTTGTACACTTTAGGAAAGTATAAATATTTGTGTGCCTGACCAATCCAACTTTGATTCATATTAGGTTTGACCTCATTAATCGGCTAGGTAATTTTGACCTGAACTCAAGTATAGCTAAAAGCTGGTTCAATTTATGCATGATATTTGATCTTTGAGTCTAATTCTCAACCCTATTTATAGAAAGCCACCAATTTTATCACAAAGCAATGTAGCACAGAAAACTCTACAAAAAATGGGGGGAGTTACAAAACAAGTTCTAATGGAAAACAGAACTTACATATGAACATCGGTAAAGAAAAATTAGATTAGGGTTCGACCCAATCGTGCTCCAGTAAAACCCCAGAATTGAAGAAAGCTGAGGATTCTCCTTGTCCTTCAACTTCTACAGTAACTAAGCTTGGAAAAATGCTCAATTATTTTCCTTCTAGTGCTGAACTCAAGTATAGCTAAAAGCCGATTCAATTTATGCATGATCTTTGATCTTTGAGTCTAATTCTCAATCCTATTTATAGAAAGCCACCAATTTTATCACAAGGCAATTGTTTGTGGGTGAAAATATTCTTCACGCTTTATCACAAAACAATGTAGCACAGAAAACTCTACAAAAATTGGGGGGAGTTATATAACAAGTTCTAATGGAAAAACAGAACTTACATATGAACATCGGTAAAGAAAAATTAGATTAGGGTTCGACCCAATCGTGCTCCTGTAAAACCCCAGCATTGAAGAAAGCTGAGGATTCTCCTTGTCCTTCAACTTCTACAGTAACTAAGCTTGGAAAAGTGCTCAATTATTTTCCATCTAGTGCTGCTAAAAAAAAAAATACCATTAAGCTTCATGGATTCCAAGCCCAACAACCAAAAAGATAGTAAGTACTACAGATGCCCAATGTCTATGTAGAGTCATATGCATTGCATTTTAAGTACTGACCATACTAAGTAGCAGAACTTTATGATTGTGAATACTGGACTTTAGCTCGATGGAATCTTCTTACTGCATCCTTAAATCAATAGCAATTTGGCAACCAAAATTAGCAGGAGATGCCATGCATATTACTTTTTCATTAATTGGCAGGGATACGGAGGAAAAGCCACCGAGATAAATTGATCCGACAAGAATAACGTTTCCACCAGTTAGCAGCCAAGTAACCTGTAGATACATAGATCGTAGAATGTCAAAAAAAATCAATATGATAGCAAATTACACAAAAAACTTTCATTTAAATACGACTAATCCATTGAAATTATACCCAACTTCACTAATGTCTTTCAGGTGGTTTTCCCTTCATAATCTTGTACACTTGATCCAAGACCTCACTTGATAAAGTTTCAATGAACGCATAAGAGTCCACAGTTTCTGCAGCCCTTACGGCAATTCTATTACATATACCACGCAAATGGCTATATCGCTCTCCAAGCGTATTTTCATTTTCCAATTCAATTTCTTGAATGCCTACGAGATTCTTGCTCTTAGCATCCTTTCTCCACCTCTTCAACAGATATTGGGGTGGAAGCTCCTTAATATTTATGATGTCTAAAACTTTCATGACATGGCGACATTGAATTCCAATACAATCAAATTTTTTACAACTGCAGATACAAGTATTATCAAAAGAGTCAAATCTTACAATATACTCTTTTGGGCTGTCCTCTATAGTAACTTTGTATATATAAGTAGTCTGAACCTGGCCACTGAGGTATACCATCATGTCCATAGACAATTCAAACTCATTTTGGAAAGTCTTAAAAACTGCAGGTGTGTATACGTTAGCAGCTTGCCTCAACATCTTTGAAGCAGGCATCTTTACAGCACTATGGCAACCACGATAATCAGCTTGCAGCTCTGCATTACGTTTCTCATTCAACATACTCTCAAAGTACTTGAAGAAGTCCAAGAGATTCAGATCTAAATCCAGTTCATTTTTTAGTCTACTTCCCATAGTATCCTTTGTAAGTGTACTGTTTATGTCAGCACAGAATGTTTGTCTCCCATATGCCAAAGACCACTTCTCCCTGTCTTCATAGAGCTCGGCCAACCAAGAATTATTGCCAAGATCATACTTTTCTAACAAAACTTCCCACCTAGATGTAAAATCTTCTTCATCCTCAATATCATATAAACATTGACTAAAATCCTTTGCAAATGTTGTTGAGCCTTGAAATACATGATTTAGATGCTTCATGGCATCATTATAGATGTGCCAAGCACAAACGCGATGAATTGTACCTGGCCAGACAGCAGCTATTGCATTGTTCATGTCTTCACATCTATCAGTGAAGACTACATGTGGTTTTTTTCCCGACATTGCCGTCTTGAAAGTCTCAAACAGCCACACAAAAGATTCTTTCGTCTCATCATATAGCAATGCTGCACCAAAAATTACTGTCTGCTTATGGTTGTTCACGCCAAGAAATGGAGAAAATGGCCTACCATAATCTCTATATTTGTATGTTGTGTCGAAGCATAGCACATCACCAAAACATTCAAATTCAAACATGGATTTTGCATCAGCCCAAAAGATGCTTGCTACTTTATCATTTCGATCCAGCTGCAATGCATAATAGAAGGATGGATCTTCTACCTGTTTTTCTTGCACATATTGCATCAAAGCTCCTACATCCCCTGGAAGGGCTTCGTATGCACGTTTGGATTGTATATAATTCCTACAATCAAGAGAAATAAGAGGAAAGCTCGTATCACTTCCATCTTGATCATCCTTCTTACCATCAAAAGGTTCTAATGGCTTTCCGTTATCATCTCCAGATTCCATTAAATTAGCCTGAGTCCCAATTAACTCCCTCTGCCAACGCCACCTAAACAAGTGCAACTTTGAGGGAATTACAAGGGGATGGTTATGCTTTGGCTCAAACTCCACAACACGATACCTGCCATTCTTCATAATTTTAATGGTCATGGATGCAAGACAACCTGTTCTCTCGTATGGTTTTGGACCCCTCACCAATTTATCACCCCTCTTCTCATGCTCGGTAATCTTTCGGCTTTGACCCTCTTTGTGACAAGAATATGTTCTTGAATACACAAGGCCTGAGGTCCTCCGCCTGAGCTGATTCTTCCGAACACTGAACCCAGTTCTGGCGGCATAGTTTACGTAAAACTCATATGCCTCATCATCATCTTCGAACTCCATATCAATTTTTGGCAACCAATTCTCATTATCAACACCTTCCACGGGGACTAGGGATTTATCTGATCCCAACTTTGAAGGATCTACACATTTTGATGGCATGAAACTGCTGAGAATTGACTTCCTTGTAAACTGTCTACCCAAATTCCTCCTACCAACTTTAGCCATCGCACCAACTCCATTACTTGATTCCATCTGAGTCTCCTGGTTCTTACCCACCAACTCATGGTTATGCTCAGCTTCAAATTCAGTAACATGGAACTTACCATCATCCAAAAGCCTAACAATGATATGCGCACAACAGCCTGTTCTCACATCTGGTCGAGGCTTCTTCCCCTCCTTCGTAGTCCTGCAGAATCCTTCCTTGTAACAACAAAATCCTCTGGCATACACTGTGTTATTAGCCCGCCGCTTCACTACATTTTTCCTAACACCAAAACCAATCTCTCTGGCGTATAAGCAGTAGAACTGGTAGGCTTTCTCATCACTCTCAAACACCATATCAAGTTTCGGAACCCAGCTGTCTTCTACAGTACCCGCACAGGATGAAGACCGAGACTCCTCGACTGTCTCGGACATTGTTGATTTCACTTCAAGTCGTCGAAGAAGATAAAAAAACAAATTACAACTACGTCTTCCTTTCCCAGATTAAGTTCAGAAAAATAATGTCAAGTAATCCTTATGGAGCATAGCCGAGTGAGAAAACTCTTGCTTTCAAGCAGAATACGAATCAACGATAGAAATAAAGTCTAAAAGAACAACAGAAACTTGTTATCGCCAGATTTCACACAGCTCCTGAGCACAGACCGACGAATTGTAGAAGAAAGAGAACATTTAAACCAGTGAATCCGAGCCATCAACTCACCTTAACCGGATGAAGGTTCTTTCATGCAAGCTTCTGATGGCGCGCAAAGAAGGGAAGATCAAGAAATTTAGAAATAAGAGGGAAGCAAAAGAGGAGGGAGAGACAAAGAGGGGAATCGGACGAGGAAGAGTTCCGACGTAGCTTGGAGGGATGGGCGAGAGGAGCAAGGACGGGGAGGGCGATGGGAGGAAGGGGAAATCAGCAGGGTCCGACCACATAGGATGTTTGACAAGTGTGCAGATCGAACGGTGGACGTGAAAGGGTTTTCGATTTTGCTTTAGATTTGGAGTCCGGTAGAGCGAGGACCATTAAGCGGAATAAACATTGGATTTGGAGGGGCGGTTCTAAGTAACAATTACCCCAACAGATGCATTGCATCGACGCGAAAATTGAAGCGGCCGTTTTTTAAAATTTGTTAATGAGTATTGAGTACCATAATATTTAGGGATTTTTACATACATGCCACTTTATAACATGTATATTACATATTTAACATTCAAAACTTAAATATTTCATATATACCACTCAAATACAAACTTAACCTCAAAAATACCACTCCCTCTCACTCCGTCTCTTCTCCGCTTCATTTCACGCTATCCTGCCAAAAAAAATCTGCTCCTTTGGCCCTTCCCACCGAACGCCCTAAATTGTGACCTCGTTCGGCTCTTCCTATAACAACCCAAGATCCGTGTAGCGAAAGGATTCATCTGATCGTTCTATTGCCTCTTTTTTTTT